TTAATGGATACAAACAACCGTTCATGTTTACCTGCTACTTACAAAACATGTAATGGAGGTTCATTTAAGTACACATGGTATTGAGATATGTCTGTGGAATTAGTTGCAGTTTCAATAATTAAGTAAAAAAGATTCTCCAGATAGGAATTATAAAAGACCATTTGATATATACAGCCATCAATACAGATGCTTTTAAATGAAAGACTAATTGGAAATTAGTGATTTAAGTTTGTAATTCATCAGTTTATGATCAATGTTATGTCATTTTCCCTACTGAATGCACAAGAAGAAACTACTTTGGTTAAGCCAACAACGTGTTTCCAGGCATTATAGAATTTAAATAAAAAAAATTCGCTGACTGAGCTTTTACATTTCAACATTAAATTGTGTGATCGATTTAAAGTAGTTCCTTTGATTACGGTAAAATTTAAATGCTTATTAGTTTTATAAAATCTACATACAGCAATTCATATAAATTTCAAAGATCAATCTTATTACACAAGATTAACTGAAAGTTTAAATCGTTATTAGACAAGGGACTACAAAAATATATAGGTTACAAATACAAAACAAACTTAAAAATATCACAATCATATCATAAAAAAAATCGCTATACAAATTAGTTCATACATTGTAAGCATATACCCGGCTTTGTCCTCGATATGCATAAAAAATACTAGCCACTGGACCTTACATGTTTTCATAGATATACCAACCTAGTTTGGTTTATCATTGTTGTCCGTTACGGTCATTTGCCAAAATCTAATGGCACAATAATCTATATGTGATATATTTCGTCATGCACACACCGATATCAGACTTGCACACGTAATGTGGTTACCTACGTCATAAACATGGTTTATAAACCTATCAACCAATATATAAAACTAAAAGGCAAACATGTTCAAGTTGAAACATATAAACTCAATGCCAGTTGAGAATTTTAAGTTAAAGTATAGTCTTAAGAAGAGGAGAAGAAGGGGAGAAGATACACGAGGTATAAACGAAGACTTTAAGTTGTACAAAATCGACAACACCTTGGTCAAAGAAAACACGAAAAAGACAAATAACAGTCAACGAGACACTACAAAGGGAACTAAAGATTGAGCAACACAAAATACCCCCTAAAAACTGGGGATAAACTCAAGTTCTCTAAAAAGTAAAACAGTTCCTGCTCCACCAATGTCATCCGTTTGAGTGTAACTAAAGTCAAATACATTAAATGCTTGCAAAATAGTCTAAACATTTTCTGCTAGTGATTACCTACACACCTTTAAGTAACTCGAATAATTCTGCGTCCTCAAGGGCCTTTAGACTATCGTTAATGTAGCAATCGGAGATCACCGGAATATAACGACTGACATAATTCGGGTTAACTTTTAAGATCCTTTAACAGTTATATTTCTTTGCATATTATTAATCATTTAAGTGCCATTCTGCCTAAGAATCAGACAGTGGTGAAAATATGACAAACAAAAACCACTCAATTTGACATTAGTTATGTTTTAATTGTATAATGATGCATGAATATAACATTCGTTTCCTTTTCCTGTTCTAGTAATCCAAGATATAATTTTGTTGAAATGAACTAGAAATTAACAATTAAGGGGATCTAACTCCGTAATTTGCTATTCTCGAATTACCAGATAAGCAGAAACGAAAGATCTACCAGTTCTAACTCAGAATGAGGGTATCTTCAAAAAAGGATGGGAAGTTCGATTGGTTTTTTTCGGCCATTTTTTGAAATTTTTCTAAATTGCCTGATTCTTACAAAGACTTAATTACATATACAATGTATTTCAAATTTGTTTTACCTTCATGCTACTACAGACATAAAGCGTTTTTCTAGGCATATTTTTTTTTTTTGGAATTGAATTAATGTTTTCCGATTTCATCCCATTCATAACGTGATAAATTACACATCCAAGGATTTCATCCGACGATATCAGGTTTGACTTACCGCCTTGAGGTGGTCTCGTAGTAGAGTGCTCGCATCTCGGGTGCTAGAAGTCGTTGGTTCTATCCGTATCCGGATCAAACCAAAAACTTGAAAATCAATATTTGTTGTTTCTCCTCTAAGCACGCAGTATTTAGGAGTACGAAATCTGGTCGTCTCTTAGTCAGAATAATATGAGCAGATAAGGTGGCATAAACTCATCATAGATACTAGGATTAAACTTTCGTACGTCAGACATCCGTTTCATCTACAAAAGATTCATCAGTGACGCTAGAATGAAAAAAACTTTAAGAAGGCCAAATAAAGTATGTTACCTTTTGAAGAAGTACGGTAAAAAATCCGGCTGTTCGTGTCGGTCTATTACAGGGGTCCATAATCCATATTATATTAACAGGTTCTCGTCATGTTTTAAACATCCGTCACCACCATCAATTTTTACCCAAAGATATTTTATTTTTTTATTTGCAAAAATTAGCAAATAGGATTCGACACTAAGAACGTCTTCTGAATGAGGAAACAATTTTTCAGCCAAAAGAAGTCAGACCACCTATTATTTCGTATGCATAAAAAAAACCAGCAGAAGTTTAGTTTTTAATTATACGTTAGTAGCATCAGACACCAATGTAGATAGTAATGCTGCTCTAACTTGAGACTGTGAAACGTCGAATTTTAGATATGATCATTATGGCCATGTTATTACAGGGGACCTCAATATCTTTAAAGACCGAGAGGTTAAAAACTTTTTGAAAAAAGGACCTAAATATCGTCCTCCATCTAAATAGATTGGAAACAGTGTCGTAATGTCACAAAAGACGCTCTCTCATCGTATTGTAAAAATTGGTGTAAACGGGAAAAATCTGATAAAAAATCTCTTGATTCTTATTTGAATAAATGAATGAATGTTGTGGATATTCGAATATCACATTTTGAAAATAATTCAGAAATAAATAAAACAGTTCATAACACGCCTATTTCTAGAATAAGAAACAAACTTCAAGTACTTTCAAAGCGGTTTGTGTTTGTACCAGCCTACAATGGTGGTATGCCGTAAATACTACATGTACGTTCTTAAGAATGAAATTTTAAATTCTTCTACAATTAAGTCCGTGCGCTCCACAGAGAGTCATATAGTAAACAAACATATCATAACCACAGCACAGCTTAAGGCCTCTTCTGAACATTTGAAGGTCCCTACTATGTATTGGTTACCTAAACAACACAAAAAAACAGTAAAATATCGTTTCATCTCGACCTCTAATAAGTGTTCTACAACTAATCTTTCAGTGCTTTTTAACTAGTTCCTTAACTACTATTAAAGATCTTATCATTAACTTTTGTAATAAAATATATAAAAATAGTGGAATAAATTTTTTTTTGAGTGTAAAAAATTCTTTGGATGTTTTAGATAAGTTATGTTTTTTGATGGTCCTTTTGATTCTGTTGACAGTTTTGAATTTTCAACTCTTTACACTACACTTCCACACAATCTTTTCCTATTTAATTCAATGGTCGTTTGGTAAATCTAAATGCGAACATATTTGCTGCAACTCATTTAAAGACTTCTTCTCTAGTGAGAAAGGTAAATATGCTAGATATACTTACTGGAGGTGTGATGAGATGATTGAAGCTGTTAATTTTATTCTTGATAATATTTATGTACGTTTCGGCAATACAGTTTATCGACAGGTTGTAGATATTCCCATGGGCACCAATTGCGCCCCTTTAATAGCAGACTTGTTCTTGTACTGTTATGAATCATAGTTTATAACCAAACTCAGTAAAGACACGTCTCAATTGCATTTAATTGATAAATTCAACAACTCTTATCGTTATCTTGGCATTTCACAAGGTCATGTTTTTCTCCCACTGTTTATGACGTCTTTAATCTAAATCCATTGGATGTTGGATTTGTACTGATTGATATTTTAGTCTTAGATGCATGATTTTTTTTATTAGTTGTTATTGGCTTTGAACTAGCTGTCAGTAACTGCGAGTACTCTCAGATCTGTACTTAGTGTTATTTTGTTGTGGGATGTACAAGTACCCGTCCACGTCTACTCTGTGTTTTTGTAATTTGTATTTCTATTTGTATCCATCTGATGAGTTTAGCATTTTCAACTGATTATTATAGTTTGTTCTTATGTTGTACTGTTACACCACTGTCCCAGTTAGGGGGAAGGTTATCGCCTTCAAACGAGTTTAACCCCGCCACATTCTATATGTGCCTGTCCCAAGTCAGGAGGCTGTAATTCAGTAGTCGTCGTTTGTTGCTGTGTAACATATTTGTTTTTTGTTCATTATTTTGAACATAAATAAGGCCGTTATTTTTCTCATTTGAATTGTTTTACATTTTTCATTTCGGGTCTTTTTATAGCTGACTATGCGGTTTGGACTTTGCTCATTGTTGAAGGCCGTACGGTGACCTATAGTTGTTAATTTCTTTGTCATTTGGTCTCTTGTGGAGAGTTGTCTCATTGGCAATTATACCACATCTTCTTTTTTTATAGTAAAAATGTTTATAATACTATATACTGACTTTTAACTATTTCCTTTAATTGTTTTTTAATTGTTACTACTGGACTTTATTCTTTTCAGATAATTTAACCAACAAACTTAAAAATTTATTGTGAATGAGACAATATGGATAGAACCTTTTATGTCAGATTTCATATCACTAGTAAAAAACTGCACCTCTCTGTCTATCTATATTAGAATTAACATAATTGTGCAAACATTATTTGCTTAAATCAAGTTTCCTGGTTTTTGAAACTACCGATTTAACCTTTAAATCTTAGACTAAGACAAATTGAATTCAATTTAAGTTGAAAAAAATCATAATCGCATATTTCAATAAATGTATTTTGTTAAGGTAATAAATTCAGTCGTTTCATTTCATTTAACTAATATAACACAACCATGACAACGACTATTTACTCTCATCATCATTGGTTTTTTTTCACCTTATTACCTCGGTGTTGCTAATTTCTATTTTTTGATTCGATAATTATAACAGAATACTGTAATTCTTGTTAGCATTCACACACTAAAGGTTCGAGCAATGTTCATTCAAATCGTCAATGAAAACAGAGTTTCGAAATAATATCGATTCGCTGACTTGGACACTTTTTTCGGATTTATTTATTCTTGTTGCCATTAATCCTTCGTAATTACATTTATTGTTGCGAGAATTTCTAACTGATCGAGCAAAATTTTCTCTTTCTTCTTTTATAACATGATTTGCAATAATAGTACTTGTATCGTAATATCTACTCCGCCTTTTTACAAATTTGATTTGACATTTAAGCTTTAAGCACCCGCGGACTTCCGTTTTACATGATTTAGTTGAATTAGGTCTTAATCTGTTTCTGTCAGAAGAAGCTCTACAGAGTGATTTTAAATGATGCAATCGAAATGTGAAAATGCCGTATAGTACAGGATTGATGGCGGAATGCATCATCAAAATGATCTCTGAAATGTCTAAGGCTTTTTTCAGCTGAATAGTATAATCGCTATAGATCCTAATGAGCGATATTGTGAAGTAAGGTGTAAGTGTTGACAAAAATCCTATGATAACAGTTAGCGTCATGGTCACTACTCGTTGTTTTGGCCTAGACACAAGAGAACGTTGTATCGATAACCCCCTTGAATGCGTCGATGATATACCATTTTTATGGGACCCAACTCTACTCCAAACAACTTGTGCAATTTTGTAATAACAATATGACATAATAATCGCTGGAACAAAGAGTGTGTATAATGTCAAAAAACCAAAATAAAATTTGCGCTGCCATGGTGCACTATACCCCTTACTTAAACACATTCTCTTGACGTTCGTTGTATTTGCAACTTGTTGTTCAACGTGAACAAATATTGCCAGCTGAGGCAATGCAAAACAAAAGGCCATGAGCCATGCAATCACAACCTTTCTCCAGATTTTTGGTCTCATGGCAAGAGACTGCATTGGACGGACAATGACCTGATATCTATCTATGCTCATTCCTGTAAGGAGAAATGTGGAACTAGCTAGAGTAACAACCTGAAGGTAAACACTCATCTTACACATGAAAGGACCCAATACCCATTCTCCAAACGCCACAAATAAAATCTCTGTTGTCATGGTAATCGCAGCAATCGCTAAATCTCCAATAGCAAGGTTAATAATGAATATGTTAACACGTTTTCTTCTCCTACTTTTCTTGTGAAGAATCAATGTGATTAACAGTATATTTCCAATCAACGTGAATATCATTACTGTAAATACGGTTGACACCCTAGTAATTATTTCCGGTGTCCATACTGACCCGTCATCATCTTTATCATTCCTGTCAGGAGCATCCCAAGCAGGTTTATCAGTTCTATTTGAATAATCCATCAATGGGTCTTAATCCTTTACATGATAACAGCAACTGAATTACACGAATAACCTGAAAAATACAGATTATTTCTAGATGAGAGTAAGTTTCGAAGTATTAACAATATCCTGTTCAAATTTTTCTCTCAAATTCAATCATGTTGCAAATCCAATTTTCTTATACCATATGAAATGCCAAATCGTTTCTTGTTTCACACCATTGCTCCCGTTAAATATCATTGTTAAATTATCAGTAATTATTTGAAATTAATTATACATTGATGTATATTTTTTAAACTATACTTATTCTTCGAGTGTTTAAAGAGAAGCGGAAGATAGAAAAGGGATATTCGAAAGCAGGCAAACTTTGATACTTCGTAATCTTCCGTCAGAGAAACTTTGTTCATCTTTATACCTCAGGTGTTACACTTCATGTTAATAAGGGTCACTGTAATGTTTACGTTAGAAAAAAGAAAATTTGTTAAAATTCATGATATTCCAATTAAATTCTCATCAATAATATTTCGACGGATTCCAAATATAAACCTTTTAATTAATTGGGTAAAATTATTCAGTAGTGGCCTTTTTTGTGGGCGGATGTGTCTTTGATTAGTTCAAGCTTCTCTCGATTTGTTCTCAAGAAATATAAAACCTTTGTCAATGAGACAAAGACAATTTGCCGGTAGCGTAAGCCGTTTTTAGAAGTACAAAATGTATTACTTTCAGATAATCACGTGATGTATATATGATTTTGTATATAATTATTCCAATAACATCCGTTCTATAGAATTTAAGTCTTTCTTTTGAGAAATCAAATTCAATAGATTTCTGGACGAATAAATACATATTTAAATTCAATCTTGGGAAAGATAAAATACATATTCAACTTTAAGAATAGTCGAACAAATATAGCTATTTCACAACAAACATACATCCTAAGGTTTGAGAAAAATGAATACATTTTCCGAAATAACATGCATATTAAACATTCATTGTGGAATTGTTTTCATATGTTTGATAAGAGAATTGAAAAGAAAAGACAATAAAGTTAAATGAATACTGAATTACACTGAGAAAACTATATTGATAGAGAAAATATAATCATGTTCTGCATAAAGCAGCTGTGTCTATCAATAACATAAACCATTGTATAATACTTGTAAGGTGATGAAATAACAACGTGTTGTCCTATAATGAACATATAGTAAAAAAAAAACTGGCATTGACATAAACATGTTTATTATATTCTCTCTCCTTACAATATATATATTACAACACATTGCAAAAATAATGACTACAGCGTAAACATAATAAAGCAGTAGTTACATACATTGTAAAAATATTCATGAAGTTATTTAAAAAGATGATGAGCAGTAGTTTTTTTCCTTTCTGAAATTAGTTCATTCAAGTCCCTTTTCTTCTATCCATTCATTATTACTAACTCTAAAGTAAACCCTAAATGAAGGTTTGAGAGTTAATCCCATTTTATGTTAACCTAATCTTCATCCTTGGGTTCTTTTTTTATGATACTGTGGATCTTGACAAAATTTTCACGATTTGTTTACGTCAAACAACTAACCACAGCGCCATAAAATAATAGTTCAGCTGTTTCAAAACTAAAGGTATAAAAACGTTGTATTATAAAAATAAGGACGAGGTGTGATTGCCAATGAGACAACTATCCACCAAAGTTCAAATAAAGTAGTATACGCAATTATAGGCAACAGTACGGCCTTCAACAATGAGAAAAAACCCATACCGTATAGTCGGCTATAAAAAAAACCGACATAAATAATATGAAACAAGTATTATGTAAGGTTCATTATAACGTTACTTTTGCGTTACATAAAGGTATATAAATCTATACAAAAACTTACCACACAACCGTGGTCACAACATCTTTTTGACCTTCAGATCAAGGCATGATGTGACCACCTTATGGCCCATTGAATTCGAAATCCTAGGTTTTTATCTTTAAAAGTAACATTTTTCATATTTTGACGAGATAGTAGTAAGTCAGCTATTGGAATATATAAGTTATGACTAGTGTATGACATAATAGTAACATCACAAGTTATATTTCAGCATAAAGTGAACATACTATATCGCTTAATACATTAATCTACATAACTCAACAAAAAGGCTTCGAATATTTTAACTGATTTTTTAATTTTAAGGCAATTTTCTTTACATTTTTACTCAAGGCGTTCACACTTTTTGCATTCAAATATACATACAGCTCCCAACTGCCGTTAGTCTCAGAAGGCCCAAACTGGTCTGTCTGCTGCATATTGTACTACTTCAGCCAATGCTTTCAAGCCAATGTCTGTTCTTTCTTTTTTTAAACGTACCTCCATGTTTCCTTTTGTATTCTTACACTTCTCTTACCTAATGGTGACAATGGGAAGCAATTTAATTTCCATTCCATAGGTCCACCATCAAAATATGGTCTACTGAAGTCTCTCTCCTAGTCTTAATAGAGCCGATGATGCTGCATATTTTGGCTTTGTAGTTTGAACTTCGGTGTTTGAAGCTGGTCATAACATTATTGATTAAATGTACGTTCTTGGTGTTAAAGATGTTCTTTTTGTCTCCATTTTCCTACATATCCAATTTTCTACCCCAAATTGCATTACAACATGTAAATAACATTAATATTTTGTAAATTTTGGTGTTTCCACTGTATTGGTAAGATGCCTTTATTTTTCTTAACTTAAAGAATGCTACTTGCATTATTGAACCTGTTTGTAATATCTGCTTTTGCATTACGGGTGGTATCTTGAACAGATTGGAATTGTGTGAAACTCTTCACCAACTCTTGTTTATCGTTGTTTAATAAACAGGGGGTCTGTGTGGCCGAGTGGTCTAAGTAGTTCATCTATCGTATCACTAACATGTCAACACTGACATGGTGATTTCGACCCCACACGTGGCAGGTGCGTTCGACTCCGATTTAAATTGACTAGGATTGTTAGTTTTCCTGCAGAAGGTCGGTGGTTCTCTCCGGGCACGACGGCTTCCTACACCAATGAAAAACGACCGCCATAATATAGCCAATCGTGCTGAGAGTGGTGTTCAACACAAATAATCAATCAATCAATCGAATAAACAGGCTAGATGTTATTTGCCTTGACCCACTTTATTTTTACCTTCTTGTTGCTGTTAAATCCAGTTTATGCATCTAACCTTTGCATATCTTTTATTTTTAGCTCAGCTTTTCTAATCACTTGGCGTCCGTCGTCCGTCGTCCGTCGTCCGTAAACTTGTACAAAAATCTTCTCCTCTGAAACTACTGGGCCAAATTTAACCAAACTTGGCCACAATCATCATTAGGGTATCTAGTTTAAAAAAATGACCAACCAAGATGGCCGCCATGGCTAAAAATAGAACATAGGGGTAAAATGTAGATTTTGGCTTATATCTCTGAAACCAACGCATTGAGAGCAAATCTGACAGACGTAAAAATGTTTATCAGGTCAAGATCTATCTGCCCTAAAATTTTCAGATGAATCGGACAACCCGTTGTTAGGTTGCTGCCCCTGAATTAGTAATTTTAAGGAAATTTTGCCGTATTTGGTTATTATCTTGAATATTATTATAGATAGAGATAAACTGTTAACAGCAATAATGTTCAGCAAAGTAAGTGCTACAAATAAGACAACATGACCAAAATGGTCAGTTGACCCCTTAAGGAGTAATTGCCCTTTTATAGTCAATTTTTAACAATTTTTCGTTAATTTTTGTTATCTTTTACAAAAATCTTCTCTGAAACTACTAATATGAATTTAACCAAAGTTGTAAACTATCATCATAAGGGTATGTAGTTTAAAAATTGTGTCTGATGACCCCGCCCGCGAACCAAGATGGCCGACATGGCTAATAATAGTACATATGGTAAAATGCAGTTTTTGGCTCATATATCTATACCCTTTGGAACTGTTTATAGAATCATATGCAAAACAGTGTAGCCGAGACCATTGATTGGCGCGCTAAAATATCCCATTGACTGGGTCAGATTAGGTGAACGTTCGTCTGTAACGCCCACAACTCACGACGTATTTATTATAGACATTTAAACTGTGGGGTCTCAACGCCTAAACAAAATAATTCGAAAAACTAATCAGGAATAACCATTGTGTTTTGATTTATATTGAACACTTAAACGTTCTTTACTTGTGTTTTTGTTGTATTTTGATAATGAATTTTTATGATATCGGACGTTCTCTCAGCAAAAAAGGATTTAACTGGCTTTAAAAGATACAATGGATGTGTTGATTATTATCTTTTTTTCGGACGTCAAAGCGATTTAACAATTGCGGTTGTCCAATTATGTCATCTTTTAACTTTTATCTGGTCAAAATTTTATTTTAGAACGGATGCATGATCAACTTTAAAAAGTGTGCAAACACAAAACATATAGACAAAAGATACTTCTTTCCTGTCTTTTTCGTACTTGCAAGTTATTAAACAGTAAAAAGGCTATTTGGATCAAGCCTTGTGAAATTTGCATTTACGTTTTTGAATAGGTACACTGAAATGCAGTCAAGTTTAGCGATTGATAATTCATTCTGGCGTATCACAAACAAACAACTTGTAACGTCTCATTTCATTGGCCGAAAGATTTAAATACAACAACAATTGTAGTGTGCACGTGAATTGACACAGGTGACCGACAATGGAATGTACTACGTTACTACGAACGTAAAAAACAATGATTTTTGGTCGAAATAATTAAATAAGTATTTTGTGAATTTCAAATAGTGGGGTCGAAATATTATACTTATAATTTGTGTTAAGTAATATTCTTTATGCATGCAGCACTTGTACCGCACTATGAAAAATATAAGGATAAAATAAAAAACATGTGCCGCTTTTATACGGATGAATGTATGAACCACTTTAATTTCTTTCATATTGACGCTATGTTAGTATTCTGACAATGTCGTAGTTACTTATAATAAGGATCTCATAATACTGATCCATTTCAAATTTATGATGGGTTGCACATTACTCTTTTGTTG